GGAAAGGGTTATGTTGTGTCAGCGGGGGTTCCCTCTGTTTTGGGTCAGGCAGGTCTTTGCTGAATCCATGTTGAAGAGCTGTTGGAAGCATTGGGCAGCTTGTGGGGTTTTCTGTAGGGACTGTGAGGGCTGCCTGGTTCTTCTCCCCCCACCCCCTGCCCCATGTCTCCTACAGCCCCAGCGGAGCCCAGCGCCTGCTGCACGAGTCAGGGCTGCTCTTCAGTGAAAAGATACCTTGTCTTGACTCCCTGGCCTGGTTTTGCTAGTGGCTGACAGCCTCCCCCCCTCAAATCCTCTAGTACCTTCTGGCCTGTCAACCGAACAGGCTGCAGCCCCAGCTCACCTGTTGGCAACTAGCCAAAGCAGCAAAGAGTCAAATTTGGGTGTGAAACGCCTGCCTGCGAGCCAACCAGTGCCTCCGAGCGAAGGCACAACCCCATTCCCTTGTGCTGCCCAGGTTCCCTGCCTGCCCTTCCTGCCGCTCCTCAGCATCACCATCAACAGCACCCTGATGGCTCGGCTCAGCGTGGCTGCCTGGCTGCGGTACCTGCTCTGGATGGCCGTCGGTAAGCCCGGCTGCCCTCGAGGTCCCAGAGACGGCACCAGCCTCTTGGGGTGAAGCGTTGGTGGGTGGAGAGCCAGCGGCACTAATGCCGGCTCCAGGAGGAGGGAGGAGGGATGCTGGACTTCAATATCAAAGGCTGGTGGGAGCACCCTCTCCTCTGATATGTGGCCCAAAGGAATGGGAAGGGGTGAGCGCTTTGTTGTTGGGAGGAAAGAGAAAGACACCCACACACATCCTATTCTTTGCATTCCCAGGTTTCCTCATTTACTTTGGCTATGGGATCTGGCACAGTGCCGAGAGCCGCCAGCCCAAGGGGTCAGCTCCCCGGGAGCTGCTGGGAAGCACAGCCACGGAGATGGCCCCGGAGCCCTGCGGGATGGTGGGGTACCCATCTGCTCCAGGGCAATAAAAGGAGCACCCTTGGGCTGAGGGTCCATGATGGGGCACAGCCCTGCCACAACCCGCAGGAGCCATTTTCTTCCAAGTCTGGTGAAATTCCCTGAGCAAGGCAAATCCTCATGGCAAGCTCCCTGATGGAGTTTCGTTTGGATAGGATAAAGCAGACAGGTGTTATTGCTGCTGTTATTGGGTTGTGGTTGGTTTTGGATGGCTTTTTTCCTTTGAAACCTCTCCCTGCAGCCCCTCCAACCTCCCCCTGTCCCCTTGCCCACCCTGGCCCCATGACAGAATGGAGTGGAGGCTTCTCGTCCTGCCCTGGCACCCTGAGGCAGGGCTGACCTGTCTGTTCCCCATGACTGCCAAGGCACTGCCTGTGCTGGGCTTCTTCCTCCTTACCGTGGGCAATTCCTTTCCTGGACTCATTTATTCCTCCTCCTCAGTTCCCAGCACTCTCCTTTTCCCAGAGCTGGGCACATTCCTCTGGATCCCACGCAGGATCTGCCTTTGGGGGAGTGGGATGCAGTTCCAGGTGCCCAGAGCTGGGATCCCAGACCCCACCAACCTCATCTCCCTTGGTCCGGAGCTCCTGCCCCCTTCAACCACAGCCAGGCAGGATGTGGGGGGGCAGCAACCTGCCTGCTGCCCCAGCACCCATCCCCTGAGCCATGGGGATGCGCAGAGCAGTGGGTGCTCTGACACAACAGGCACCCCATGGAGTGCCTGGCTGAGAGCTGGTTCCTGCATCCCTGTTGCCTTCCCGGCTGCCTCGTTCAGCCACTATTTTCCCAATAAGGATCAGCACAAAGGACGGAAGTGACTGCTGCAGTGGCCCTGCCAGCCTGACAGGGCTGGGGGGGTCTACCCTTGCCAGGAGCCCATTGAAATGAATGAAATGAGGGAAGGAGCAGAAGAAGGGGGGACTGGCAGTGGGGGCCTCCTCTGGGACTCCCTTGTTGTGGCTTTGTGACGCCTGCCCCCATCCCTCCCCATCTTCCCCCTGCCCCAGGTGTGGAGCGTGTGGCCCCGCTGTGAGATGCTCCCACACCAGTCCTCAAAGCCGCTGACACAGGATTCTTGAGGCTGCTGCTTCTTACACATTTGTAATTGTTACAGCCAGTAGCACATTGGCCTGGTGCGCACACATACACCGGCTAAATAGCGCCGGGGGGGACAGGCCGGTGGCAGCCCCCGGAGCTGTGACCGTCCCACCACACTCATGTGCCCGGAGGAAAGTGCTTGTGTGCATCCAGCCCTGAGCCGTGCTGGCAGCGTCTTCCCTGACGGGGATGCACTGGCGCGGAGGAGGGGGGGATGTGCCCTGCTGGCAGCCACCACTGAAGCCTGCTCCCCCTCGGGAGGATGCTCTACTCCCCAGATGTGCACCTTTGGGTGCGCAGCCTCTGCCTGGCTTCAGGGAGAAGGTGGGGCTGGTGCTGCTGATGGGCAGCGGGGACAAAGAGGGC